AATATTTGCAAAACATCTGGAGATAATTAGATAGTCCAGTTTGCTTTGTGAATAGTAGGGCGTTTTTTACGCCAAGTAAACTGTTTTTTGTTCTCATTTCTTATTCGCCAAATGTAACTAAGCTAAAATGTCAGTGATATCCTCAAAAATGTCTACCGATTTAGTCCGGGCTTGGGGGTTCCCTCCTGATCTGTCCATCAAGTTATCCACTGTAAAATTCAGATCCTCCCCCCCCCCCCAGATTATCGTTTTGTTTGGATCTGGGATCATATTAGTTAACCTAATTTTTAAATCAGTTAAGAATTCAGCATGTTCTGATTTTCTATTGGGTGCATACGTGTTTAGTAGAATACATTGAGAGTTATCAATTTCAGTTTGAATCATTAAGATTCTCCCATCCGTATCCTGTGTTAGTTTATTAACTTTATCAGTATTTCTAATTATAGTCATCACTCCTCTGCTGGTGGTAGTTCCATGTGAATAACTACATTTCCCCTTAAATTGAGAAGACCAGAAAATCTCATCTGCCGAGGTGCTATGTGTTTCTTGCAAATATGCATTGGCAAAAGCCAACGGACACACGGTAACTGGAAGAAACAGTAGAGTACTGCAGCATGGGACGGCTCCCATGTACTCAATATGAATACGTTGTTTTTAGGCAAGTTTCCTTTCTTCTTTCCTGGAGCCGTCCGATTCGAAGCTAGTGATTGTGACGCATGCGCAGACCTCTCCCAGACCAAGATTTATCATCTGAAGGGATGATTCAGTGACAATTTCTTTTAATTTATACTTACTATTCAAAAATCACTGAAAATAAAATTATTACAAAAACAAATATAAATTCATTTGCAGCACAAATCAATTCCACCTAAAAAGTATGACTTCTAACTCTGACCACAGACAGACTCAGTGGGGATGCTCATACATGTAACAAGTGAGGAGACTTGTAGCCAGGGTTTGATACACAACTTGTTCTAATGGTTCATTTTGTGTGAAAGCTTTATTAAACAATTATGTCCATTGTGCTATTTGTGATGTATAGCTAGGTAGCTATATACCACTGTTGTTGTTTTTTCATCTACTGATGGGTAGCAAGCCAACTGAATTACTCCTGATGTTTTTAGCTCTGCTGTCAACTTTGTCGAGCGGAGCTTATCATGAGGGATTGTCTGTCATTGTCGTCGTTCGTGTCAACTTTTTACTTTTTCTACTTCTTCTACTTCTTCTTGTAAACTACAAGCCTTATTGCTTTGATGATACTTGGTGTATACTAGTATTACCTCTTAGGTCTGTTCATTTCGTGATGATATCTTTAATTCTCTAATTATCAGAATGTTTTTGTCATTTTTGGTAAAAAGTGATTCTTGTTCAAAACGGCAAGTATGATTGCTTTGATGTTATACATGCAGGTAGCTCAGATATACTTCTCTCAGATTTGTTAATTGTGATATTTTCGACTTCTTGTTGAAAACAGCATATCTAAT